TGCATTTCCTTTTAGCAATTTGTAAAGACTGATGTCTAAGCTATTATCATCTCAGGGAATCTCCCTGTACATAAATTACCCCCGATTTATTTTCTCTCTTAAGTCTTTATTTCATGAAAGCCAAGTTACATCATGCAAAACAATTGAATTAACTCTTAAACAGAGTCCACCTTAAAATTTACAATATAAATTGTAAACCTTACAGATCCAGCCAACCATACTTCAGCCACTCACAATTTACCAAGTACACCATATGGTTCTTTTCCAGTTGAGTTAAGCTCTGATAATTTATTACAGAAATTTTTAAAAGGAGAGAGAAAAGAGAACTACAATATCTAAGTGTCATATTGTTACTGCATACACACACACACACAAAGACAAGCAGATGGCAGTATGTTAGGACTGTCATAAAAAGTGGACTATAATCTAATAAACATGTCTAGACATTTTGAAAGAAATCTGTTACAAAACTAGTCATCCAAGTTCCCAGCAGCATCACAAGGCTGTCTTCAGTTCTGCTTCGCATGACCTAATGGTAGCTATCAAAACTGTTACTTTAAATATATTGAAAGAAATATGTCCCTGACAACTCAGCAAGTGAATATGCAGAGGGTAGAAGGTGGTATAAAAAGTTCTGCAACAAAAGCTCTTTAAAAAGAACAGAAGAGAGTCTCATTAGATATTCAGGCAAGCTGAAAAGAAAAAATGATTCTTTTCATATTCTAATTTCCCCCTGCTCATTGCTAATTGAGTAACCACTGAGAAAAAAGAATGCATTTAGCAATTCTGCAGGTGTTTTACCTCTCCCATTATCTCAAACACCAGTGCCAGGAGAAAGAATACACCAGATACATTTTAAATAGAAAACATTTCTTTCTACAAAGGGACCCATCTTAACATTTAAGGCTATCTTTATACCTGCTTCATTACAAAGTCTGTCTTCTAGATCTTAGCTTACATATGGCATAGATAGTTTGGCCTATGTGAGAAAACTGTACCATATTTATAAGCTTTTTGGCTCCTGCCACGGTCATGTTTTCATTGGCACCTAGATTTTTTTTTATCAACTTGAGCTTTAATAATCTTTATTAAAAACAAAATGGCAAAAAGTAGACAGTAACATAAGATATAGGAAATCTTCAGCGACGGTTTTAACATCACTGTACTCAGAAAAGGCAGAAAGAATTATTTATATCTGATCCTATAGCCATAAATTGGCACCAAGTCAGTATTCAGGCTACTTTTTAAAACAAGTAAACTTTATAAATACTGCATAGTCATCAGTATATCTCCAAGGTATCTGTCAGTTGTAAGAGCCAGTTGTAAGAGACAGCCACTAACAGCTAGTTTGGTGTAGTAGTTAAGGCACCACCTTAGGCACAAAGCCAGCTGGACAACCTTGGGCCAGTCACTCACTCTCAGCCCTAGGAAGGTGGCAATGGCAAACCACTTCCAAAAAACCTTGCCAAGAAAACTGCAGGGACTAGTCCAGGCAGTCGCCAGGAGTCAAAACTGACTCAAAGGCACAAAAACAACGGTCTGTCAGTTGTCCTGAACTTAGCTGTAAATTTTCTGTATTCATGTTTATTATGTTCATTCAGCTCAATGATTTTCAGTGATTAAAAAGGAAATTGGGAAATATAACCACATTTTGTATTCTGTAGCTGATGCTCTTCTTGGTTCTGACAGTACACAAACACATTTATTGCTGTACATGCACAAACATCTTGGCACAAACATAAGGGAAGGAGCTTGATACAGAATTTAATAACCTCTTCACAGGAGCCTGAGATTGATGAGACAGTAATAATGGATGAGAGACCTGTCATCTTTAGTAAAATTTGAAAACTGCATTCTTGAGAGTATGTCAAGACCACCACTTAATTGGCTGATGGAAAATATGATAGGCTTTATTGCAGTCCCACTGCATATGTTTGTGAGGGTGGGAGGTAAATAGATAAACAGGGAGGTCAACCTGTGCTGCAATCAAGTACAGCTATAGAACCCTGCACTATGACTTTGTCAGAACTAATTACCTAGACAAAGTCAAGAGTGGTTGATAATTCTTAAAAAAACAAGAATGTATTAGTGAATTCATCTTTCTTCTTTATATTCACTACGGATATCTGCATTCACATAATCAGACAGCTCCTGAAATCATGCACTGGGGAAACAAGATGAAAAGGATTTATCATACTAGAATTATGTACCACTTCTATGACTTTTCTCATATGCAGAATCAATAAATGAGTAACTTAGCTGAAATTGAAGCCATCTCCAGTAAATAAAGAAAAATAGGACTTTTAAAAGTTTCTTGTTATTTTTAGAGTTTTTTCAGGTTGGGGGTAGATCCATCTGCTGGAGGTCTAAACCAGTGGCACTGACTTTTCAGCACCTAGTGAATACTGACCACAATCACTCTGGTCAGTACTATTACTGTAGATAGAAAGTTAAGGACAATCTGTACCCCCTCTTTATTTGTCACTCTCCCTGCTCTTTGTCTAATCTGAGTTACTTCCCCCTTCATTTTTCCCAGGCATGCCTGCACAGAGCATGGTCTTGGATTCTCTTCCAGGTAAGATACAGATAAGCTTTGCCTATCCCTATACTATATTTCCTGTAAATAAATCTCCTTTCTGTTATAAAACTTGCTTCAATAACCACTACTTATGTCAATATCTTCTCTGAAACAAACCAAATTTATAAGTACTAAACCCAACAATGGGCTTCTTCCCTTCCTCAGGTTCTTAACCAGTTCTGTGTTAGTCCTACAGGAGGATGGTGGAACACAATAAAAAGGAAGAATTTATTCTGCACACGTAGCCTTTCTAGATCAGAATTATATTTCCATGCAACCCATCCACCCCTCTGGCAGTTTGCCCAGATGTGAAATGCCCCTCCAAGGATTTGCAACTTATAAAATGATTGGATTAAAGCAAGAAATCAAGAAGCATGACTTGGTTGGTTTTAATTGGTAAATACAATTCAGTGATTCATCATTGTTTTTATTCTTTAAATATCTTCTAAGCTGTTTGGAATTCCTTTTTGCGGGGGGAGGAGTGGAAAGTGAGATATAAATTAATTAAAAATAACAAATAAAAGCAGTACTCAGAACTAGGTCTGGACATGAACAACTACTCAGTACAGATAGTTGTCTCCTGTCTTGATATGATGGTATCAGGCAGATCTGGTTAACAGTTTAGCTTCACTGAAGTTTCTTGAAGCCAAATCTGATTACAGGTAGTCCTCAACTTACAACCACAGTTGGGACCAAAATTGCCATCACTAAGTGATGCGGTCATAAAGTACAACATTGCATGACTGCATCACTTAGCAATGGCAATTCTAGGCAGTCCCATTGCCATCATAATCCCAAGATGTGCGGGTCGTTAAGTGGGAAGAGGCAGGAGTCCCAGGTAAGGAGCACAGGGGTGCCATGGGGGAGGCCTGGGAGGATTGGCGCAGGCTGTCAGGTTCGGTCAGCACGGGGCTTCAGGGAAGCTCGCAGCCAGACCACGCAGAATCCACCGACGGTAGCTGGCGGGGAAAAGAGGAACTGAAAGCGCCGCTAATTAATGGGCCACCTGCGCCCAGCCAAACCGGAAAACCGCAGCGGAAGCTTTTAACT